AAAGGGCGAGCATGTTTGGTGTGATGGGGATTTGAACCAGCAACCCTCAGATTGCGAGTCGAGTTCCCTAACCACCTGGCCATGCCGGGCCTTACTTTTATTATCAGAAAAGTTAATGGTGAGATAAAATAGTAACAATGACCCAAAATGATTTGTATTGTGTTCTAACTATGTTAAATGAAGTTTTGACTAAGTGTGAGGAGTTACTATTACTCAATCTTGTTACATTTCAGTCTATTAATTTTTGTTTGTTTGTTGAACTTTGCATAAAGCTACTTGAGGACTATCTGCACCAACCATCCCTAATTTTGAAGTGACACACTAGAGAGAAGGCGGACAGTCAACACTGCCCACCACCAATTAATGAGCTACTCTAACTGAATGGTAGGATTTGGCTGTCACACTAATAATACACCCATGGCTCCAAAGTGTGGAACATATATTTTGTTCATGGCAGTAACGGGACACGAACCACTGAATCACAGATCCACAGTTTGGCATGCTAACCACTGGGCCACACTCAGACTCTCAGTATATGAAGTTCTGCAAGTCTTAATTAAATATAAATTCCCGAAATCTTTATGCATACTTACATCGTCGATCAAATATTTAGCAAGATTCACAAGGTTAATTACAATTTTCTCTCTGTGCATCTCTATGTAAAGTGCCCTCACTGTAACTTTAATTTGAGTCATAATTACTTAATGAGGAAAAAGTGCTAATCAAGCTTAAAATCTTCTCTGCAGTGAGAAATGTGCAAAAGAAATATGTTTGGTTCATATCTGGATGAAAACTGAATGTATTACAAGGTGTACTTTGCATGTTAATCATTAAGTTTACATGTGTGAAAACTATTAGAATTTGTTTATATATTCTACATACCGAATATGTTCCCAGTCAACACCCCTGAAGAAAGTGTGTTGTTGTATTTCTTTAATACCACCTACAGAGCCAATCCTTAGATCAACTTCACTACAAAACCCCTGGATTAGATCCTTTGCTTCATTGGAAATAGGTACTTCTGGTGGAAAAACTAAGGTTTCTTTCCAGTTTATTACTTTCCTGTACGTTTCTTGAGGTGTTTCGGAACAAAAAGGAGGGTAACCTTCGAGATAAAAAAAACAAAGGCTCATATAAATATTGTTAGTTTTTTAAGACTTCAATCTCAATCTGGTACAATATAAAAAAATAAAAATTCGAATAAGCAAAGATTACATGAAAAATAATCTTACCCTGTAAAACTAACATAGAAAATAAAATATCTACGAAAAAAAACAACATTAAGTATGGAATAAAAAGATCAATGCTAATCAAATAGTCCTTTTTAAAGGGTTCACCCACAGCCATGATGATAAAATTCAAGGACTTCTTAAGGACTTTTCAAGGCTTCAACACTGTTTTTCAACAACTCCCGAGAAAGTACATTCACGAAATTCTTTGTTCAATACCCACTTTGCCATGACAAAAGACAGGGTAATACAGCATTCAATTCAAGAGAATAGTCATGTATTTTCAGAATACCACATGAGCAAAATGGTTGTAAGGCCAGGAAAAGATTACAAAAATAAATCATGTTTCTGGGGAGAGCATTCACGAAATTCCTTGTTCAATACCCACTTTGCCATGACAAAAGACAGGGTAATACAGCATTCAATTCAAGAGAATAGTCATGTATTTTCAGAATACCACATGAGCAAAATGGTTGTAAGGCCAGGAAAAGATTACAAAAATAAATCATGTTTCTGGGGGAAAGCAGCTCTGGCAAAAACAAAGACAACTAATGAAAGTAAACGACTTAGCAATTCATTGGCCATATGAAATTTCTGAATGGTCCAATATACGTTGTATAGAATATTTCGGATTTATGGATTTTATGTGATTTTTTTATTTATTTATGGACTTTTCAAGCTATGTGCAAACCCTGTTTTTAATTATTTATACTATGTAAGTACCTTGTCAATTACTTCAGTTGCAACCAATTCAACAACTGAAACATGATACATTTTAAAGAATGAGTAAACTATATAAACAAATTATTGTAAACAGATTAAAACTAAATACAAACTATACATACCAATCAGCATCTCATACATAATGACTCCCAATGACCACCAATCACAAGCATTGCTGTAGCCAGTTTTGACAAACACTTCAGGAGCTATGTAATCAGGAGTTCCCACCGTAGAATATGCCTGTTACACATGATAAATAATAACTGAAAAAAGTGGAACTTGCACGCTATAAACTCTTAGTAACATAAGTGAATAAAAGGCAGGTTGTTAACACAAGTAACGAGAACAAATGTATATATTCTTGTACCTAAAAGTAAAAAAATAAGAGAGAGAAGAAAACAAAGAAACACTGCAACAGCTCCTAATTTTTGGGTAAGTGCTGACAGTCATAACGTAAATAACACAGGCCTGTGAATTTAAACTTCATAAAAGTTGTTTTGGTTTTAATAATGGATTTTCCATAATTCAGCTACGCAGATTTTGAAAGTAATATTAATTTTTTTACTATCGCCTAAGGTTTTTTTACAGATCGGGAAGAAAAAAACAATCTCTT